CTGATTCTTTCTTTCTTTTTATATCCGTCAGTTATGTTTTTATTGATATCTACAGACGCACCCACCGCCCATTATTAGGGTCAAGTCTTAATCATGATGAATTATTATTAATTAGATAAGATATTAAAATCCATATAAATAAAAATTGCAGACAAGATAATTAACTAGGTCAGAAAGCTATTTGTAGTTAATTTCCCTATGGATAGAGTTTTTTTATGGAAGTTGGCTGTTTTCTTGTCATAAAATGCATTCTAATTTTTTTAATCATTCGCTTATATAGCGAAGTAAGTCGTATCTATAGTTCTGATGTTTAAGTAGCGTTGTCTTGTATAGCTTTATTAGAAAACTAGCTATTCCCGAGCGGCTTCATCCGCATGAAATTATAAAAACTTTATTTGATTATTTACATTTGTTAAATTTACCATTACCATAATAATCTTGCTTCCTTAATATTGGCAGCTTGTATGGTCCCTTTCCCACACGTAGTTTTGATTCAATTTATTTACCCCCAAAGGGAAATAGTATGAAAATATATAGCCTAAAGCGTGTCGAGAGTGTAGGGCTTTTTAATAAACAAAGAATTATTCAAAAATATGGTGTGTTTGCTGACATCCAACACCACGAAGTAGTGTGCGTTTACGCTTTAATGTAGTTAAGAAGTATAGATATAGATACAAAAGTATACATATAAAATATCTCCAACGCCGCCCTAATCCACTTTTCCTTACCATCCTCTCCTAACCACAAAATGAGAAGAGTAAGTCTAGAATCTAGCTTGCGGTATCAAATACGAGTACGGCATTTATTTCGACAGTGAAATTCCACGGAAAACCCAACAACAACGTCCCAGGAAGGAAGCCATACACGAGTAGACTTTGTGAGACACGCGGCAGACGGGTGACCGTCTGTTCGTTTATTTTTATGCCATAACTGATAAGCCTTCTGTACCAGCCCCCGACTGGCTGATACCAAATAATTGTGTTACGCAATACATGTAATAATTTAAATCATGTTAACATTTTAAATTATTTATTCTCTAGAAATATATTTATTTTTAACAAATGTCAACATATTTTAAGAACACGGCCTAACTTGATACACTTGGCGACACAGACCAGTCATATAGGAAAAAGGAAAATGGAATATAAAACAAAAAGGCGAATTTGTTTTTTTATTTTCTTAGTGTCGTATCTCTGGCTCTATCTTATCTAGACTAACATATTAGTCCATCTCAATTTTGTTTCACGCTTATTCCATTCTGTCAAAGGCACGAAATCAATAGGAAGGAGGACTCTCTGCAAGTAAGGTTTTGGTTACGAATAAAATAGATATAACATAAACCTCTTTACCCTCCGTCTCCCGGCGATGCCCGTGTTAATAAGGTAACTAAGACTGTACTTACTCTCGAGCCGGTCTTAGTTGACGATTTTAACAATTTGCAACAAAACTCAAAAAACTGTCCGAAGCATTTGAGGGTACAATTAACACCGCACATTATCTCGCAGGTTTCCTTATTCATTGGTGGATCTAGAATGGATTCATTATAATTATAAACACTTTTTTATTTACGACTAGCTGTTGCCTGCGACGTCCGCGCAGTATTAAAATAAAAAAGTAGCCCTTAATATGCCCGTCTATGTCAGCTACCCTTCAGTGAAAGCCACGTTAATATCGGCCCAGCCGTTTCGAAGATTATCCGTAACAAATGCGGCTTGCGGACAGACAGACAAAAAAAAAATTTAAAGCGACTTTTGTCATCAGCTACGTAAATACATCATCTTCCTTAAATCTCATTTTTTTTTGATATTACAAACATACACTCCAATTTTATTACATATATAGAAGATAGCACCGCAGTCGGAGATAGCAGTCGGTAGGCCATCTAGGGTCTGTGTATGGCGCAAGTCCATATTTTTAGGTCTTAATTCATTTATTTAAACGTAATGCTTAAGATATTGTCCTACATAACGTGTTTACCCTTGGAATATTTAGAGTTTATTATCCAAAATTATTCATACCAGCAGGTTTCCGCTTGATCCGATTTGCTTCACACGTCAACATATCTGAAATAAAATATAATGTCTACTGAGCTTATGAAAATTGAAACTCAAATTAATATTATCTAATCAACAACATTGTTTCTAAAATATGTTCTATAACTAACTTCCAGTTATCTCATATCAGTGACAAAAGTCCTGTCTAAATCGGTCCAGATGTTTCGAACAATATAGATAAAGGGTGTCACTAACAGGCAATCCTATTTTTAACCGACTTCCCAAAAGAAGTAGGCAATCAATTTGTCTGTATGTTTTTTATGTGTTACGCGATATCTCCGGCACTGGTAGACCGATACTGAAATTTGTTTTTTATATGAAAGGTAATGCTTGCAGGTGGGTCCCATTTTTTTGGTTTATTTTACATTATTTTATGGATAAATATAGATAATTAAAATTTACAACTTACCAAGAACCAGTAAAGTTATGGTTAACAAATATAGAGATTTCATGTTTTGTTTGATTTTTCGCAAACTTCTAGTTGATATACAATACTGTCGAACTCTTCGCCCAAGTATGTCAAGAATCCCTAGCAACAACTCTCTATATATGTGGAACGAAATTCCGTACAAAATTTTTGAGGACGTGACCAAACAGTTATGTTTTTATTCCACGCTTTGTCTGTACAAAACGTTAAAAAACTAATTTTGTATGAAACGATAAGAAATGTTGGTTAAAAAAAAATGACCCGAAATTTCGTCGCGCGATTTTGAGTTAAACTATTTAACTACGTCGTAGTCTTTGACTTCAAAAATCAACCAAAAAAAAATAGGACCCACCTGCAAGCATTACCTTTCGGATAAAAAAAGAATGATCAAAATCGGTCCACTAGGGGCGGAGTTATGCCGTAACACACATAAAAAAACATACAGACGAATTGAGTACCTCCTTTTGGGAAGTCGGTCAAAAAACACACACAACAAGGCGTGGCGACGCGGCAAGGTGTCTCAGTATACCTGGACTTCAACGAGGAAATGCTATCTAACTAAGGGTACCGGTATTCTCTTACCTCAGTAGACAGTCACTCGGAAGCCAGAGACGTAACCAATGACTAGCATTATCCCATAGGAGGTTGCTTTATAGTAGTATGACGTGAGGACGTCAGTTTGTATCGTCCCTGTTTAACGATATGCTGAAAACTTGCTAAGTCAGCCACAAAGCTTACTAATAGTATAAATGCGAAAGTTTAGATGTTAGAGTTTAGAGTAAAAACTGCTGAACGGATCTCGATGAAATTTGGCATAGATGTAGAGTATAATTCAAAAGAACACATAGGCTACTTACTATTGGTTTTTTTAATTCCGCGCAGACGGAGTAGTGGGCGCAAGCTAGTATTTAGTAACTGGTTAAGTTGTGACATGTACACATAAAAGCAAGTCTTCGATAAGTAAACCCTTAGTAAAATGGCTGCCATATTGTTAAACAGCGTAAGTTTCACTGTTGAAATCTATTTTAATTTATCGTGAGCAATCAAAAATAATTTTATTCGTAATCGTAACAAACCAAAATACCTCGATGATTATATCGTTTACGAGACGTGTGTCGATAATCATAAGAATGTTGCTGTGTGGTTGAAATTAATTTCCAGTAACATCTGCTTTGTTTTGCTAACTTAATCAAATAAATATGTACTTAGTGCTTGTATGCTTACTTAGTAGATGCTTTAACGCTTTATCCAAAAGTAAAAACATTAATCACGCCACGTGTTACCCACGCTCTCTCGAAGTTGTAATGTTTTTCTATGTTATTTTAGGCACTTATGTATTGATTTTCACAAATGGGGAAAGGACTGACGACCGCAGCACAAGCGACTTAGTACAGGAGCCAATCCCATGAAATGTACATTTTTTTAATTAGAGTAAAATAATAAATCATTTATTTATTTATTTATCTTCTTCAACGCCTCCACGCGGCACTAATCTTTGATCATTTAGTAATGACATGACGAGTAACGATAATATAGACCAATCATGCTGTTGGTTAGTACACATACATAAGTAGGATAAGATATGATAAATAATCTAATAAAAAAACCGAAAATTATAAACGAAAACAGCAAAAAGGATTCAATTTTAAATTACATGTGATATCTACCGATCCATTTAAATCCCGTGCCACTGTCATCTAGGGCTTACAAAGAGTCGCCCGCCGATGATCTCAGCTAGATCTAGGAGGCAGGTCTCCTGACCATATCTAACCCCATCTGCCTCTCTCTCGTTCTCTCTGTGTCCGACGCCCATGGAGTTTGCCTTAATAAAGCTTTAGAAAAATTGCAAATCGTTAAATACCCGTGAACTTTGAAGAATTTCAATTAAATTATATAAATTAAACAATCATTTATCTCTCTCAGTCTGTGTCATCTCAATCAGTCTTCTCTCCTTTCTTCTATACACTATTTTCTAGAAAAGGTGTTATCTTCTACGTAATAATTTTTACCGATTCTCAAAACGAAATCCAAAAGTCATATTTTAATGTACACAATACCTTAATGCAGATAATAAAAGGGAAATATCCAGGAAGTATTGTATGTTTGCGTGTTGCGTGCCCCCGTCGATACTCGATCATGCAATTCATCCAGATAAACAAGCATGCGTGTAAAAATACAGCATTACCTAACTTATGTAAGCTTTGTTTACTGCTAACGTATATTATCCTATACTAGCTGGTAATCGCAACTCGCGTGAAATTAAAAAATATAGCCTATGTTACTCACAGATACCTTTCTAACGCTGAAAGGATTTTTCGTAGTTTTTGAGTTATTTCAATGCATAAAAAAATACAAATCTTTCCTCTTTATATTGTGTAGATTATAAGTGCTTGAAATAACAGAGACAGTTTCTTGATTGACGCAGTAACTGTATTACTTCCTTACATTAAAAAATACGGTTTTAAATCGATAAAATTATTCCCTAAATCTCAAATTAAAGATAAAATTTAAGTTTAAAAGTTTATTTCATGATTTCAGCAGACAAATAATTTAAATGAATTCAACTTTTTTTGTCGAACCAGGGCTGCAATTCATAGCATTGGTGAATCTGAAATAAAGATTTAGTTAAGCTTGTATTATGAGCTAGTTCTTTATACTTGTAGTTAATATATTTTTAAAAACATCGACAATCATACACACATCCATTTAACTCGATCCTGACACACCCTTATCTCTTACATTCAGACATGTACACATATATACAAGCAAGTTGGTATTTCATCAATCTGAACGATACAAGTCCGTTTGGGATGCCCCCGTCACACTGCCATGCACTTTTGCATTATAAATTCCCTTCCTTAATATTTCATTCGTCCTTTCAACCCGTTCCAACCATGCTTCATGCTTTTTCAACATCACTCATCACTCACATCTATTTTTAAACAATATTATTTTAAACTTTGCTCAAATCGCCTCTAGTCGTACATACCTCTTCATTTACTTTTTAGCTTCTGTGGCATTGGAAGCCACAGATCTATAGAGACGCAATAGGCCATCGTCGTTAAGGGGTTGTACTTGGTGTTGGTTGAGAAGTCGATCAAGAACACTAGATGATAATGGCGTACAGTTTTGTAAACCCTGCAAATGAATCGATTAATATCAGGTAGATTAAAAATTAAAAATAATTAGAATGAACAAGTTAGTTTATTTTCTACATTAAAATACTTCCTTAGTATCCAACAACACAACACGTGTGCCGCAAGAATTGTAGCGTAAGAAAGCGAACTTGCAGCGCCGTTGGCACTGAATTTGTTAAGGATTTGGGTACGGGCTAGCTATCTTGCGGTCGAGGGTTCGAATCCCGCCTCGACTATTATCATGAACCATATCCTAACACAAGATTTTCAAGCTTACCTTGAATGGTTAAAAATATTAAGAAATGAGAAAAAATTTACAAATAATTTCAGTAAAAAAGTGCTTACCCTTATCCCGTGGCAACACAAGCTTAACATGCCGTTGGCACACACAAGAGCACAATTGAACGAAATGCCACAGGTACGTCACATCGCGAATCATGATATCTTAACAGATCTATAAAGAGTTAAATTTGGTTAAAGCGTTTCGTTTATGTAACACCTTTAGCTGACAACAAAACCAAACTGGATCCAAAGTGAACCCACTTTTACACAGATTTAACTGCTTACAGCAAGCAACGAAATCAATAGAACACTGTGTCTTTTGTTTTTTTCGGTTCATGTTTTTTTCCCTTCGGTACCGGTTTTTGCGGCGTTCTTCAAGAACCGTAAGTTTTTTAAGACGTATCTTTCATAAAAATAAACAATTGGCATTACAATTATACGTAAATATTGCGAATTGCTATTTTTGAATATGGTCATTTTATCATTCTAAATATTATAAATGCGAATATTTAGATGAATGGATGGATGTTTGTTAGAGTTTGTAGCCTAAACGACTGAACGGATTTTGATGAAATTTGTTATAGAAGTAGAGGATAGTCTGGAAGAACACATAGGCACTTTTTTCACTTGTTTTCTTTTTTAAATTCAACACGGTCGGAGTCGCGGGCGAAAGCTGGTCTATAAAAGTTCGATAAATTAAAAATTAATTTAATTAACTATACCTGATACTTGGCGTCTGACCCGACCGGCTTCGGGCATCATCGACATACCTGAAAGTTAAAAAAAGATATAAAAAGTCAGATTTTATTTTATTGAATTATGTTATAGATGTCTTTGTTACTACCTTAAATTATTAGAATCTGTAAAGTATTAAAAATGTAATAATGAATTGTAATTTTAAATACTACGCACGGTTGTTTAGTTTTTAAATATTTCTTAAATCAAAACACTAATTCTAAAGTGAGATTCAAGAAAAAACACTATCTCAGTGTTGCTTGGAGTTGAATTGTTAACGAATTAATTATTCAGTGCGTATTAGACTACACTACAATGACTAAATAAAAATCACATTAAGACTTTTTAACATAGGCTAAATACTCATAACAAGTTAAACATATTCGTAATATTTGAATAGATAATTTTTTTTTATAATATACGGTGGCAAACGAGCAAGCGACCACCTGAATCCACCGAAATGGAAAGCGACCGCTGCCCATAAACATCCGCAATTACAGAGGCGTTGCCTACCCTTAATTGACGGAGAAGGAGACGCACATAAAGAGGATATTTCCCCTTCCTATGCCTCTTCTCCACCGCCAAATCCACTTTTCCTTCCCATCCTTCCCTTTTAAGAAAGGGGTGGAAAGGGAAAGGGACTAAAATTAGGCCTCCGGCGCCACACTCATCAGACGAAACGCGGAATTGCTTCCACTTCACGCCTGTCTTCTGTGTGGTCGTGGTATTACATCGGGTGAGCCGGCCCATTCGTGCTCTACCACTGTTAAATTATATATTATATATAAACTTACCAACAATAAGCAAAACCGATGCTATTACAAAATATTTCATATTATTATTTTACTTTTTAGTATATAAGGTCAACACAATAAGGCTTCAACAACCGAAGTACGAAGAATTACGTTAACTTTTAATATTTATAGTTGAAAAGAAATTTTGTCCTAATTGTAGAAGGACATAACAAATCAGTTATGTGTTTATTACATTTATATTTTACGCTACCACTGTAAGTAAACGATTTTAAACCAAATAACATGCATAATAAAATAATCATATCAATATGGGCGGGAAAATGTTAATAGTCTGGAAATATTTCATGCCTTCATAGCGTTTATTATTTAATACTGAAGAAAAAGCAGCGAAGCTTCATAAATGCTAGTTATCATTTCATCTATATGTATACTATTATAATAAAGCGTAAACACACACTTCTTTGTTGCCTAAGATGTCAGCATCTACACCATATTTTTGAATAAGTCTTTTTTAAATAAAAAGCTTTACACTTGCGTCACGCTTTAGGCTATATATTTCAACGCTATTAAACTTAGGGGGTAAATATTTTGGCCAAAAACCCTTATGTGGGAAAGAAACCATAAGTTGCTGCCAACATCAAGGAAGCAAGTTTGTCATCATGTCATGCCATTTTGACATTTGCAATTGATGATTTAACACATGAAAACGATTAAATAATATTTTAAAAATTTCATGCGGATGAAGTCGCACGGGAACAGCTAGTTTTATTATAATACTAGCTTTCGTTCGAGACTTCTTTAACGAGGTATTTAAAAAAAAAACAAAAGTAACCTATGTTTTCTTCCTATCTTCTACATTTATGAAAAAACTATTATATCGCGATCCGTTGAGCATTTTAGTCTACAAACACTAACAAAAATCCATCCATCTTTTCAATAAAACTCGTTACAATGCATTTACGCCTATAACCTATATGAAATTTTAATCGACCTGCTCTGATTCCAGAAACGGAACATTTTATGCATATCTTTATCAATATATTTAACCTTTAAGCGGCAAATTGAGTAAAGGATTATAAATAACTTGACATTCGTCATTAAATGGCTTGTTTACTGTTTTCAACGGTACTACGCGTGGACAGTAACGTGACACCCAAAAAGACTAACACTAATTGTTCTGCCACAGTAGAATTTCTAAGTTTAACAACTAGAAAAGATATTCCTAATAGTTAACTGTCATACAGTTTAAGTAAAAGTGGACTAAATGTAGCATACGCAGTAGTCTGCTGTAGTCCTGACCATGTAAATTAACTAACTCAATGTTGATCAGTCAGCCAGAAAAAGAAGATATTTCCTGTTCCTTTCTTTAATAATATTTTCTGATATATGTAATGACAAGAAAAAAAACTGCAACAATTTGGACGAAGAAAATCCGTATTTTTCATTCAGGGTAATAACAACCGTAAACTTGTAAATATGCATAACCGTCAACAATGTGTGATGAAATGTTAAAGATAATTATGTATTGTTGCTTCCAACAGCCACCGCAGTGCGAACTCCAGCCTCCAGCTTATATTGTGCTTATCTCAAATGAATACAAGTGAAAGGAAAATAACAGACATTTTGTTTAATAAATAATTTATATTACTAGTCAATATCTTTCATTCGTTTATAAATAAGAGTACACATTAATCGACAACTTATCTAACAATAATAAGAAAGTATATAATCATTATTCGCGATTGTACATGAATATCTACTTAGTAGTTACAAGTTTCATATCGTCCCTCGACCCCTTGACATTCGCAACG